TGGATGTTTTGGAATCAGCAAGAGTAACGGAAGAGAAAATGCCAAGTTCTTTGATTCAAAAGGAAGAATGGAGGTTTGGTTTTCTGTTTGGGATTTCTGGTTTTTTATGAAGGTTTCACAACTTTCTTTTCTCTCCCTTTTTTTTTGCCAATCTTTCTCCAAAAGCCAGCCAGCCCCCTGCAAGTGTGATGGAGCAACTTATTTATAGATGGATTTGTTGTGATTTTTGGGGGGGAAAACAAATGGGATTTTGAACCTTTTTTGCATCATGTTCCCTTGCCTTTTGATCACAGTCTTCGTATGCTAATTTGATGCAAATATGGGGCGCATGCTGAATTAGCTGTTGGTTATAGGTCTGCAGCGGGTTGTATAAACAAGGTTTTTGGGATTTGGTCAAGTTCTGACCAAAGCGTTGAATATAGCTTTCATATGCTAAAACGCTGCCTTGTTCTTGAAACAAGCATGGTGGTTAGCAACTTTTAGCCATGCTTAAGCTGGAGTTTTTATCAGGAATTAAGGAAAAACAAAAAGCAAAGCATGGGCCTAGTAACAAAGTTTGCTATCCCAAGACAGTAGAGCTACACGTGGTGGAAATCCTTTGGATGAAGACTCAAAAGTGGTTGTGAGCATTAAATGATGACGAGACTTATCACAACCAGAAATCCTGCAACGTGAGATTCTACACCATGGCTTAGTTCTAGATCAGAAGTTTTACCTCAGCGTAGCATCCAACCTCTGATCTTTGTATCTTCTGGCTCCAGCATGTTCTGAAGGAGCTCACAGACTTTCCAGGAAGTTTGTAACACGCTTTGTAAACCTTCTTTGAACTGCTCTTGCAAGCTCTGACTGAACCCTTGTCAAAACTTGCCCAGAAGTTCTGACCAAACTCTGTCTTGAAAGTGTCCAGAATTTGCTGAGTGTTTCAGTTTCAAGGACGTGTCTTTGAGAAGTTAACTTGAAATCCCAGCATTTCTAGGAGAAGTTTTGTTCTGCAATGTTTTAGATCTTGTTAAGATCTAAAACTCTTGTGTCATAAGTTGATCCAGAATCAGCTTGCATCATGGTGAAAATCTGGCCAGAAGTTCTGAGTTTTGTCATGCTTCTTAAACACTTAGAAAAGTTCTAAGTATTTAAAACTTTGACTTTTCCCAAAGTAAATTGACTTTTGACTTTTGACGAAACAAACTTCATATTTTAACATGTCTTGATGAAATATGATTCTTGAAACTTGGTTTTGGTCCAAAAGATAAAGTTTGACCTTTCAGCGTGCAAATGACCATTCTGCCCTTGCGGATGACTTTCTTGAAAAATTGCAGTTCAAGGCTTGGAATTGGATGGAAGCAAACTTGAGGATCCAGGGTGATTCCTTGAGAAATGAGAGGGCAAATTTTGGGGTACAACAGATAGGAAAAATAAGTCATTAGGAAAATGATCTCCACATTGGAAAGGCCCATTTCGAATCATCAGAACCTTTACTAATAATGCCTATGAAATTGAAGAACTGAGAAGACAAGAGGATCTTAAGAATTAATGGTAAGTATTTGAAAAAATATATGTGTAAATAGAAAATTTACCTGTAGCTATCCACAAAGAGCTATGATTCAACAAGGATGAAAGAAATATATATTGAAATTATGCTCTGAGAATGTGAGAAAATGATCACATACTGCATATTAATTTATAGAAACATCAAACAAAGAACGACATCTTACACATGTGATTTAGTACATATGTCACAAATTCCATAGATATAATTCACCTACCATTTTTAATAAATTATATACTCTTTGTCTCTAAATAATTATCACATATAGAAGAAAAAAAACTTGTCTCAATGTGATTTTATACTTAATCTTTTAATTGTATCCTCTAATAAATACTCTTAATTAATTATTTTCTCACTTAACATTAATATTAATTTGAATACACAAATAGTTAATGAGAATAATTTAATAAAATTGTTATTCTCTCTTTTATTTATTACTATTTTTTAATCTATATGAAATGATCAATTGCAATAAATAATATGAAACAGAGAATAATATTTTTCAAAATATAACTAATTAATATATAGTATAACGAATGATACGAATAAGGATTAATATATACTAATTTTTCTAAAGGATAATAATATGGATTAATATATACGATTCCATAGTAAGTGATTAATTTTGCCAAAAGATGGTAATTAATACTAACTTTAAGGATATTTAAATAATTTTATTAATTATTAATAGATATGACGGATACGGGTACCATGAAATCCATATCAGTGATTGTAATGAAACAAGTAATTAAATATCTATTTATATTATTTGTGGACACTCGTTAAGCTATTCAATCTGTGTCCGTGACGGATTTTACCTGCGGATATCTGCGAGAACGAATGTTTTTACCATCCCTAACCTAATCTAGTCCTCAAGAGTTTATCCTTTAAATTTTAACTAGCAACTTTGAGCTTTTAAACCAGATTCATTTCATAACCTTCTTACACCAAACTTTTACACATAAGTTCAACTTATAAACTTTATATTAGTTACAACTTTACAAGTGAACTAAGCTCTTAAATTACAATTACAACACAATTTGATCATAACTACATAATTACACAACTCTACTTTAAGCCTTTCGCTCTTTTAACACGGGTTGAATTTCGGTGACTTTGGAACATCAAAGTCACCGTAACTTTGAGTGTGTCTTTCACTAGATAACACACTCTCTCTCATTCCATTTCCCTCCATTTTTTCACTTTCTCTCTCATCAATAATAACTAAAGTTACACAAAGTTACCAAAATGAAAGGTATTGAATCCTCTTCCCTTTTAACACTAAGATAATTAAAAGTGTATAACGAAAATTTATTTAAAGAGATTGAGTAAGAAAGAAGAGTAGTAAATCAAATTTGTGTTTTGAAAGAGTGCATCCGACTTTTTTATATAGGAGAAAAAATTGATAAAAAAGAAAGTAATCCATGGACTCTATTTAAACAGGATTTATGCATGTCGTTGAAGTATGTTTATATGTTGGTGTCGAAGACCTACATATTGTAGTCGAAGTGTGTTCTAGTATGTGGGTGTCGAAATGTTAGGGTTGTTAGTATTTCGAATTGAACCTATTTATTATGTTCAATTGTTTAAGTTAACTTGTACCCTAAGTTAGCTTGTAATGAGTATTTAGAAAAAAAAAACCGATTAGTTTAGTATGTTAGATTTATTATAAATATCATACTAATCTCTTATCATTGCATTCTATAAATTATAATTTAGGATGAGAGGGTTATTTGTTATTCTTGTAACACTTGTAATTTTAATATAAGAGAAAGTAAAGAATTGCAGTTATAACCAATCCTTGTTATTAATCTTGTTTATCATCTTTTCTACTCTTGAAGGCTTCCCTCTAATAAGGAAATATGTTCAAAGATATCGTATTTCACAACAATATCCAATTGTTTTTCTTGATATAATTTGAATTTGATTCACCATATATCTCTGCTTCATCTATTGATTGAAGTGTATTTCTTCTTCTTTTCAACATAAACTCATGAGTTCAGTTCAACCCATACATACGATCGATAGTTGATGGAGAAAAATCAATCTTTTTCCTCAAAACAACGAGCGGTCCTCTCTTTCTTTGGGAAATTAAAATTTTTGGCCTAAAACTCCACTTCTATGTTCTAGTTTGAAGACTTAATAAGATCAAAGTTTTATACTTCTATTTCTTCTGGGACTTGTCCTCCTACATAAACTTTCATCCCAATCATAGAAATGGAGTTTCAGGAAAATGCTATGATTTCCAAAACTAGAAATATAAGCCCCAAAAGAAATAGAAATTCCAAACTAATAAAATATTTCTTTTGGATTCTATCCTCCCACATAATCTTTCAATCTTTTCCCATTCACCTTGAAAGTGTTGTTACTTTTGAGCTCTTGTAATTCAAGTCCTTTACCACAATAAGACCAAACTAGTTGGACTTTACTTTTTTTAGGGAATAACTTCAATCTTGAATTGAAAAGTAACACTTATTGTATTGGATAAATCTCTCTCTTTACTATGTACTTATCATGATACCTATTAGTCTCATCCTTATAAATTATCGCATTCTCATAAGCCATAAATCTCATCTCTTCTGACTTATGCAACTTCGACAAAATTGTCAACTAAATTTGTATCAAAGTTCAGTAAATTCATCACCCAACAAAATTTATGTTCTTACTCAACTAGGAGATGTCATGATAAGAAGACAAGCCAATTTGAGTTTTGAAATTTGTCCTATATGTATATAATGCATCAGTCAATTCCTTGGATCAATCCTTCATTGAAGTAGCACGAGTCTTGTCAAGTATTTGCTTCAATTGTATTAAATATAAATAAATAAAAAATCTTTTATAAATATTACTATTGTCACTATTTCAAATCTACCCTTACTATTTTTTTAAATATTTCAATGTCTTCAACAAGTTAATGAATTGTTTGGATTATTATGTTGGAAAATCTTTAAATAAAAATTCATAAAATATTCAAATATGTTGATGCATTTAATGGTCCGGTCCAAGTTTTCAGACAGAAACAAAAAACAATTATTATTGATCTGTAAAAGTTTTTCACACTTATATGTAAGTGGGTGGTCCATGAAAACATCGACATGCGAACCAAGCAAATATCCATGAAGATGATCAGTTCAAGATCATGACAGACCAGGAAAAAAAATCATATCGCCAGAAAATTAAAGAATAACAAGGACATAAAATTTCCAATCAAAATTCATGAATTATATATCACATTAATATTTTCTAATAACATTCATGAAAGAGATAATATTTCAAGTCCGTAACAAACTTTGTACAATTGTATCAAACTCCAATGTATACAACCAATTTACTGACGCAATAATTCAGTCCAATAAATTAAAAAAAAAAAATAAAGAAGGAAAAAAAAAAAAAGATTTTCGATTTTACAATAATATTTTCCATTAAAGAAATCAAAGATAAGCAAGCACTTCCTCTAAGGATTGAAAAAGTGGCCACCACAGTGACATTTCCAACTCAATGGCTTGTAATTTGAGTACCTGTTATTACCACTATCTTGGAGAAAGAATCCACCACTTTCCATGGGAGAACTTGAAGCAGCACTATGAGTATGACCTGGTTGAATATGTTCATGGCTTGGAACTTGCACTGCCATGCATGGATGACATTGGTTACACTTGTTGTGACATGTAGGTGGAGCTGAGCCTAGCCTGTTTTTCTCCTCAAATAATAACCCCTGCACACATAGTATCGGTGAGTTTGACGAAATCACGATGATCCTGGGCAGAATATCGAAAAATATATCACCGCGAGATATTAATATCGCGGTGATATGTCAAGATATTCCGCCAAAAACATGAAGAAAAGCGTACCCTTGGAGGAATTCCAGATTGCGATTGGTAGAAGCAAGAAACTGGAAGAAGCAGAAGGTGAAGTAAAAATATGATAGTGGTTGAGTTTTGATATGAATTAAGTGAAGCCATGGAAGCATATATCATGTCAGTTGTTGAAGTCATTCCCCATCTAACTCAAAAAGATAAGCTAAAAAATTAAATGCAACTTAACTAAGATATATTCCTCAAGCCAGTTTTGTAATGTGACAAAAATTATATATAAAAAAAAAAACAAAACTATACAGATAATAAAAAAGTCAAAAATGTATAAGATGTTTGTTGTTGTCAAAGTAGACCAAGGATAAAAAGTTTGTCATTATTTCTAGTTTTGAGTAATGAATGGTTTTATTTTTGCTAGTTATGGAGGGATAGCGGTGGAGAGAGAGAGGGAGAGAGAGTGCAGAGTGTTGGCAGAAAAGTGAAAGGAACGGTTCAATAAAGGTAAACAAATAGGGAGAATCCAAAGCAGTGTGAAGGACTCTTTGGTTGCATTAGTAGTTTGAGGGTTAAAATATAAGTATGTAGCTGGGTTGAAAGTGAAAGGATTTTTTTTTGTATCTATGAGTTGGGGTAAATAAAATGCAACATCACTAAATGACTTTTTTTTTTTTTTAATATGAATCGATCGACAGTACTCATATTTTAGTGGTTGTTAAAACTAGAATTTATTGAAGGTGATTTGTTTAATCCGTCTCTTAAAATACGGTGTTTTATAGGAAACATGTTTCTAGAAATATTTTTATTGAAAATATAATTTATTGGGAAATTTATTCTTCACCTCCCATGTATTTTTGAAATTCTCAATATTTTAATAATGTTCATTTTCAAAAAATAATTTTCGACCCATTTTTGTTTGAATCTTCGGATCTAATTTAATATTTTTTTCTTTCAATTTTTTAAAATTCTTAAAAAAAAACTTACCATTTTACTCAAAAATTGTATTTTGTTGCAAAATCAAATTCTGTGATGAGAACACAAAGTCTGTGATGTTCTCGGTGCTATTTGTCATTGTGATAAATCATTAATCATAGAGGATGTCAAATAATGCGTGTATAATGTTTTCAACTATTTAAATCTTGCATAATATCCTCAAATTTGCAAAATCTATTTTTCAATCTCCTTAAGATCATCTGCCAACTCATCAACCTACAAGTCTATTGTGTCAACCCTGTGATTTAGAATATAATCTCTTTTGGACTGGACTAGTATTTGCCCCACCGTTGGAGAGACACAATCCAGCGTCTTTACAAAGGTCCAAAAGCGTGCAGCTTAAACTGAGGACCGTTGGGCATTTCTCCACGTGTCCACTAGGAGAACATGACTTGTGTTCATAACGTCATCATCATGCTCTCCGAGAATAACGGGTTCAACTTCCCTGCTTTCTTGAGGCAATTGACTAGGAAGGAGGCCACGTGCTGGGCTCCATACACTCGTAAACCCTTACAATCTTTGTTATTAGGCCTCATCGTGGCCCATTACTAAAGACTTTGGCCCAACACGGGGGGCTATAAATACCCTCTCACTTGAGAGGGCCAGGTATTCATTCATTCACCCATACTTTAATGCTTTACTTGCACTTACTCTGAACCTTACTTTGGCATCAGAGTGTCTTGCACGTACCTCCCACTTCAAATTCAACCATTGCTTGACTTAAAGCTCGTGGACCTTGACAATCTCTTATGATCAGGTACAATCAATGGCGTCGTCTATGGGAATCCAGCTTCCTCGTCTTTCACTCAAGACCAAAGCAACTCTTTATCAACCTTCCGATTGTCATGGTTGGCCAAGCTTTCAACAATGACTAGAACGTTCACTTCGTCGACGATGGGCACAACAACATGGGAAACAACAACGACACAGTCGCCCCCAAGCAAGACAACAGGGACAAACTGACCGCCTCTTCATCGACTCGCTCGCAACCACCCGAGGATGACTACCATCCTCCGCAGAATTATAAGCCCAATGCATATCAGAAGATCCCCGTTCCTGAAGGTGCTGACGCCACGACCAGAGTTCTATTCGCGGTAATCAATCAAACCAATTACACAATCTTCTCATAAGATGAGCGACTGATGATGCTGGAGCAGACTCGTCGGGGCCCCAGAAAGCACAGAAGGCCTGATTCTCGAACTCCTCCTCCCCGGAACGAGGACCGCTCCCGGTCTCCCCCGTAGAGGCATAGACGGGACGACTCTCGAAGCCCCTCTCCCCGGCTAACTGGGCGAGGTCCTGCATTGGAGAGGAACCAACCCGAAGCTGTTAAGAAGAGCGGTCACCCCCCCCCCCCCCCCCGCAAAGAGCGACGATCCCTTGAACGTAAAAGAAATAGGGGGAATAAAGAAAAATAGTCTCGGCCAAGGGACCCTCCCTGTGGCCAAGGCCGACACAAAGATCGCCACTACAACCGGTCCCTCCTCATGCTCTCCAAAAAGAAGTGACAAAGACGACCCTTGTGGTCCACTATCCCAAGCCATCATGGAGGCTCTCATTCCTAAAGGAATGGAGAAGCCTCCTTTGCTGAAGGAGTACGTCGACATTGTTGATCATGTCGACCATATCAACGAGTTTGAAGCGATGCTCCACTACCACAACGTCGGAGGCCTAATTAAATGTAGGTTGTTCTCCATGATGCTGAGGAAAACATCCATGAATTGTTATAAGAACCTCTCCCCTGGGTTGATCACCTCATGGAGGAGCCTCAAAAACCAATTCATCAGCAGCTTCACTGCATCTCGTCGACATCCGAAGACTGAGGCCGCCCTCGAGGCAATCTTCCAGAGAAGCGACGAAACCCTTAAAGAGTACATTGATCAGTTCAACTGCGAGGCCATTCAGGTCTCATGCACCGACCCCATGAAGAGATACCTACTCTAGAGGGGACTCCTCCCGTGCACTGAATTTAGAAAGGCCGTCGGTATTGAACCCCCCAGGTCTTTTGATGCACTCCTCGAAAAAGCCCGGGCACACATGGACTACGAGGAAAAAGAGGCCGCCAATAATGCCCACAATTCTAGGAACCGCAAACCAACTAACATCCCACGGCACCATGACGCGGTCCCTTCTCGAGGGACTAGGGAGAAGATAATAGAGGAAAACCTCGCGAATTCTGCGAGCACAGAGGACCAGCTGGGAGGTTCACCGAGTACACCCCGCTGACCATTTTCTGCGAGCATATCCTTGCAGAGTGATCCAATGCCGAGTTCAAGGATGGCGGAGTCAGGTGTCCTCGACCCGCGTCTGTAAAGCTCGGGGCCGATAAAATAAAATATTGTCAATACCATCGGAGCCACGGTCACCTGATCGAAGACTGCATCCATCTAAAAGATGCCATCGAGAATCTCATCAAGGTAGGGAGACTCGGGCAGTACAGGAAAAACAAATCCCTTCGTCGGGATACACGCATGGTTAAAGAAATCTAAGAGGATACCCAATAATTTGATTAATCTGGTCCCATCCAGGTAGCCTTCTGCGTCTCAAGGCCCGAGGACTTCCACATCTCTGACAACTTTGAAGATGAGAAACCTTTGTTCACCCATAACAGATGGGAGAAGTTTCCCTCCACTATGGTCATATCTGGCGGGGGATTCAATGATATCTCGATGAATTCAGTAAAGATGAAACTCAATGAGTTGGTGGACACAACCTCGATCCAGGCTGTAACCCTTGAAAGATTCAAGGGAAAATTTGAGCCCGTCATATTCTATCTCGAGGATCTTCCCAATGGAGCCCCAAACTCCAGTATTCCTCTACTGGTGAGGGAAAATATGGCCAACTTTGATATACATCGCATCCTGGTTGATGAGGGAAGTTATGTCGATGTCATGTACACCCACCTGTTATGCACCCTACAACTCGACGATACCCATTTATCACCATATGTGGGGTCCGTCCTGCAAGGATTTAACGCTTCGACCTCCAAGCCATGGGGCTACGTCGAGCTCTTTGTCACATTCGAGGAAGAAACTGCATCCCGACAGATCAAAGTGCAGTTTCTAGTGATCGATTACACGTCTCTCTACAACTGCATCCTGGGGAGACCAACAGTGTCGAGCTAACCTCCGTACCCTCCATAGTGCATTTAAAGATGAAGTTCTACACCAAGCGGTCTCGTGTCGCCACCATCCATGGAGACATTTCAGCTTCCAGGAGATGTTTCAATACGGCTTCCAAAGGGAAAAACATGGTCGACACTGGGGCACAACTTGCTAAAAGGGAAACCACCTCGACAACAATGACTATCTCGACAGACAAGCCTGCTCGAGTCAAAGGACAACAGGCTCCACCAAAGGTCGACTCCGTTGCACTCGACACCCACTTTGACAAAGATGAAGTCGAGGCCTCCAATGGAGAACATGATCCACTCTGACCCGTCCTAGACAGAGGCTTCGAGTTCATCCCCCTCGGCGAAGATCTGAACAAAGGCGTGAAGATCGGTTTCAGACTCCCCAACCTGACAAGGAAACAACTTAAAGCCCGTTTGAGGGAGAATGATGACCTTTTCATATGGAGCGCTGCAGAGATACCCGGACTCGACCCTGAGGTCGCCTATAACCAACTTGATATGGATCCATCCGCTAGGGAAGTAGTATAACATAGGCGTAGGCAGTCTCTCGAAAAAGAGGAGGGTGTTGAAAAAGCTGTAAAAGACCTCCTAGAGGCAAATTTCATTTCCAAGGCCCAGTATTCAACTTGGCTCTCAAACATTGTACTTGTTAAGAAAAATAATGGAAAATGGCGTATGTGTGTTGACTATACTAATCTCAACCGGGCATGTCTCAAAGATGTTTATCCTTTACCTGACATCGACATGCTGGTTGACAACTCGGTTAGCTACAAAATTTTATCATTTATTGGTGCCTACTAGAGATATAATCAAATTCTCATGGCGATGAGCGACAAATATTACACTGCCTTCATGACCGGTTCGGGAAACACTACTACAACGTAATGCCCTTCGGCCTAAAAATGCAGGAGCAACATACTAGCGGATGATGAACAAAGTCTTCTGCGGGGAGATTGGGGACATGCTCGAGGTGTACATGGACGACATGATCGTCAAATGTCGAGTGGAAATCAACCACGCCGCCCAC